CTGGTTTGGGGGGCAGACCAGACCACAACCAATGACACCTCCTCAATTTAATATAATTACAACATGGGAATGGCCCATTCCCAATTGTGAATATTGTCAGTTGCCCCCTTTTTTTTAATCTTCATATAATTTTTTAGACATGTGAATGGCACCTCTTCATATAATCTCCACAACCAATGACACCTCTTCATATAATCTTCATGTGAACTTTTTAAAATACAAAAAATGAAAACAAACAAACAAACAAAAAGAAGAAAACTCATGTGAAATGTCAGTTTTTAGACATCCTTGTCCTCCTTGGTGCCCATCTTCATCGACCTCATTTGGGGATCCCATGTTTTGATCTCATAGTCTCTGTTTAATGCTCTTTTATTTCACACGATCAGATTATAAAAATTGATCATGGGGTAAAAAATTAAAGAAATTATTATAATTTCTTATCATTATATTTGAATGGACAATAAATAAAAGAGATCACGTATGTTATTTTATTTTGGTAATTTTGTGTATCTGCAAATTAGGTAATTTCTAAAAAAGATTAAACAAAAAATATGAGTTTGAAGAGAGTTTGAAGGCCTTTTTTTTATTTATTTTTTTTTTTTTTTACCATTTCTCACATTCTCAATCATATGAATAAGTGATAAATTCGTTTTTCTCTTTTTTATTATTATTATTATTATTATTATTATTTCTCATTAAATCCCTCAATCTAAACGGCTTAAGAGCATCTCCAACGGTTCACCTAATTTTTCACTAAATCTGAGTAAAAAAATGATCATTTTCTCAATCTGATACTAAATGCTCCAATGGTTGATTTTCATCAAATCTGCTCCAGGGACAACCGTGATACTAAATGCTCCAATGGTTGATTTTCATCAAATCTGCTCCAGGGACAACCGGCTGGTCGACCGGTAAGGCAAAAATATATATATATATATTTTTGAATTGTTTGAACCTACCTATTTGAACTGTTTGAACCTTTTAGTGGTCGACCGGTTGGTCAACCAGTAAGGCAAATATATTTTTTATTTTTGTATTGTTTGAAATTATCTATTTGAACTGTTTGAATCTTTTAGTGGTCGATCGGTTGGTCAACCGGCAGGGCAACCAGCGAGTTGACCGGTTCCTCTCCTCCAACGGTCACAAACAATAATTTGTTAAAATCTGTATCTTGAAGTTTCAAAAAATATCTTTTTTATTAAATTTTAAATTTAATATCAAATTTAATAAACTGTTGGAGATGGTCTAAATGATGATCGCAGTAGTGGTTCAGCTCACTATACTTTTTGTTTAAAGTTGCATGGTTCATGCAAGGAAAGTAAAAGGAGAAAAGAAAAGACTAGCAATAGTCAAGCAATTTGACTACCCTTTAACCCTCTCTATTAGACACAACTTTTAAAAAAGGCATTCACAGGCCAAATTTTCTCATGGAGGCTCAATGGAACTTTGACATATTTTATACCAGGAGTTGATTTGAGATGTTTTAAAAATAAGTATATTTTTTAATTTATTGGTTTATATGGGTTAAGTTTGTGTTGAGTTTGATGTGATGTGTTAAAGAGGTGATGTGATTTAAATAAGATGACGTGACTTAAATAAGATAGTTACTTTTTGACTTTTTGACTTTTTGTATTATTTAGTTTATGTCAAACTAACTCTAATATTAACCCTTTATTTTTAGTTCCTCGCATTTTTTATTGTAACAAGTTTTAAAATAATTGATTGTGCACACACGATGTGTGCGCTCAATGAAATCTATAATTGAAGCATTTGAGAATTTTTTTAGAAAAAAAAAAATTGAAGTAATTTTGAATGGCAACTATTTTCATGTGATTGTCCTAATGTGAACAATTTTAGAAATTTAAAAAGTGTTACAAAGACGTGTAAAAAATAAAAAGAATAATTTAATAATTTATATTGAATTTTTTACTTTTAAACTATTTTAATCCTTTTTCAAGTGAGGCCTTAACATGTAAGAGGGTTTGGACACCATTTTCAATCCTTACATAAAAAGAGAAATTACATATCAAATGTTTTATAAAAAAATATGAAAAAATTATAATCTTACCTTTTAATATTTATAAAATATATTACTAATTTATAAATATATACTGAAATGAAATTATTCCTACACTCGCCCGACACACCATAATTTTCAATTACAAAGAAATAAGGTTAATGTCCTAAGCTTTTACCAAGAAAAGTAAAACTTAAATGGGCAAATTACATATACACCCCTCGAGGTTTGGCTAAATTACAGATACCCTCCTGAGGTTTTGGAAATTACATCCCGCCCCCTGAGGTTTGTATTTTCATAACAATTTGCCCCCTGAGGTTTATATTTCATAACAAATTACCCCCTAATTTCTTATGCAAATATAGCATTCAGGGGGGAATTCGTAATTTCTCAAACCTCAGAGGTATCTGTAATTTAACCAAACCTCGAGGGGTGTATATGTAATTTGCCCAACTTAAAATTTTAGAACAGGGTCTAAAATGGGGAAGGAAAGTCAATAGAAGTGTGGACTTTATCAGCATCTCTGCTCCATGCAAATATACTGTCTGATGGGGTCCAACTCATCCGGTATGTGTAGCACAGCACAACTAGATTCCCTCTCTTTTTTTTCCTAATTTCTTCGTGGGAATGGCTTCCCTCGATTCCTTCGTCAGACTGAAGAGTATTATTAAGCCTATGAATAGTGACGGAGTCACATGAAGTTTAGGGGGTCATGTGCCCTAAATTTTTTATTTTATTTTTAATTTTTTTTATAAAATGTTAAACAAAAAATAATATTTAAAATAAAATGTCAAGAGATTTTTAAATTTATAAAAATAATAGTGATTGTTTTATTGAAACTAAAGTGACTAAAACAAATTATATTTTTATGTATAAAAATTTTATAAAAAAATCTCAATATAAAGGTAATATCCATTATTATTGATATGTAAATATAATTACTCTCATTATATATATGTCAAAATTATTAGAGTGTTAGTTATATTTGTATGCGAAATTCACCCTCATATGTTGCTTTACTATTGGTTGGTGATATCATATGTCAATAATGACGTGATATCACTATTATATGAAATTTTTACTCAAATTTTGTAAAAATTTAATTTATGTTACCATTATATAATTTAATTTAAGACTTAAATATATGTCTGTTTTTACATTGTCCATAATATAATAGTTAAACAAATACTTTCTTTTTGATTTTACTCGAAATTAATTGTAAAATTTTATGTGAAATACTTTTGTAATAATTTATTTAAATTTTTGTATTTAATATTAATTCAAAAATTATATTGTCTTCTTATTGTTGGTTATGGAAAAAAAAAAATTTGAAGTTATAATCAAGAAAAGCCCATTCTGATTAGTCTTCTGGCTCTGCCATTACCTATGAGGACCCATCACGAGTCTTATTTTGATAATCCGAACCGTTCAATGCGTAGAAATCGTCGAGTACTATATATGTTTACAAAACATCACGTTGATTGGATATCGATAATTATGTGATCAAATCAGATTTTTTCAGCCATTTATTTTTCACTGTCCATTTTTTTCCATACAAAACTGATTTGATCACATAATTATCGACATCTGATCAACGTAATTTTTTATAAACATATAATAATCGATGAGTTCTATATATTAATGGTTTGAATTATTAAAACAAAATTCGTAGTGGGCTTCCATAAACCCAATTGTACCCTCAATCTAATAAAGAACTGGAGGAAAGCAATTCTCTCTTTTTCATTACATTTGCTAACTCGAAACGGAGACTCTGGACAAAGAGCTACCCACCATTTCGAAAATAAATTATACACAAATTGTAATTAGTTTAAAATAATAAATTTTGTATTCAAAAAAATATATTAACCCACTCAAATTGTAAATCTAACTATTTTGAATCAATGACAATTTGCGTTTAGTTTTCATATTTTCAAAGTGTGCAAATAAAAAGTTGTGTAATTTATCTAGGTGCAATTATATTTTAGTAGAGCAATGGAGGAATAATTACATTTTTATGTTAATTCACATTTGCAATTTGTCCATTTATCTAAGCTATTTATAATTATTTGTTTATTTATCATGAGATACTATTTGATATAGTTTTTATTTATAAAAAATTAATTATTTAAAAATAAAATTTTTAACTCTTACTTTTTAATTTAAAATAAGCTGAGGCGGGGCCAATTGAAAGTGTAGGCACCAAAACAACATAAGAGGCAAAATGTAAAAAAAAAAAAAAAAAAAGAAAAAAAAAAGAAAAAAAAAACAATTTCCAAAAATGGAAATTAGGGGTATTAGGGGTAACTTTTTTAGGGCCACCAATCATTTTCCTTTCGATAATTTGAATCGTTTATATTTTAATATTTATTGAGTATATTATTTCTGTAAAAAAATCATATCGATAGGATAACGGATACTATGCATTCGGATTATTTTTTATAAACCGTTAATTTTCTGACCGTCTATTTTTTCAGACAAAAGTGATCCGAATGCATAGTATCCGTTATCCGATCCACGTGATTTTTTACAGGAAGAATGCAGTCAACAAATTCTAAAATGTAAACGATTTTGATTATCCAAAAGAGACCAAAAAGTGAATGTAATGAGCCAAACTAGACCAGACTGTTCCAAATCTAGATTAGAGACCGTCCGAACCCTTTAAAATAAACTCCACCAACTTTACTTAAAATCCTATGTTTAAGTAGAAAAATTATGTTTTGGCTAAGACGTCACGTCATCATATTATTAATCAGTCATAATTTATTATACTCTCTCATATTTTTTAATCACCTAATATAAAATTGTGAGTATTATTTTCTTTAATAATCACAATACGTTTGGGCAGAACGTGTCATGCCCCCAACCCACCAAATAACTTCTCATTTAATTCACCTTTATATCAATATAGTTTTTTTTTTTTTTTTTGAACGTAACCTTTATATCAATATCAAATCATCATTAGAGAGCATATTTAAAAAAGAGAACCTGTTCCTCTCTGTTTGTCTCTCTCTGCAAAAGCCTGCAACCCACCAAATCCCCTCATTTTCACCCTCTCTCTCCTTTCTCTCTGTTATCGTTTTGGTCACCAAAACAATCATTTCTGTAGTTGTTTACCCTCTCTCTCTATCTATCTACATTTCTAATATATGTGGAAGCGATGAATGATCAGTTGCAGAGATGATCATGGGCTTAAACACTGCTACAAGTGAAAGTCTCCACCTTTGGTGGTTCTCTACTCTGTTTCTTCTTCTTTTGGGCCGCTCTTTAGCTCTCAACTCAGATGGGTCTCTCTTGCTCTCTTTCAAGTATTCTGTTCTCAGCGACCCACTCTCTGTTCTTGACAACTGGGACTACACCAACGACACTCCATGTTTGTGGACTGGCATAACCTGCGCTCAAATCGAAACCTCCTTTGCCACTCCCGACATGCTTCGAGTCATAAGCTTAGTCCTCCCAAACTGTCAGCTTCTGGGTTCAATCCCAGAAGACTTGGGTTTGATTCAACACCTTCGAACTCTCGATCTCTCCCACAATTTCTTGAATGGTACTCTACCAATTTCACTCTTAAACAACGCTTCGGAGCTCCAAGTCCTCTCTCTGTCTAACAACATGATCTCCGGCGAGCTTCCTCAGCTCGCCGGCGGCCCATCCGGCCTTCGACTTCTCAACCTCTCCGACAATGCCCTTGCGGGAATTTTCCCAAAAAATTTCACCACTCTGCAAAATCTCACTGTCGTTAATCTCAGAAGTAATTATTTTTCCGGTGGAATTCCCAGTGGGTTTGATTTTGTGGAGGTTCTAGATCTGTCTTCGAATCTTTTCAATGGCTCTTTACCTGATGATTTTGGTGGAGAGAGATTGAGATACTTGAATCTCTCGTACAACAAGATTTCTGGGTCGGTTTCTTCAGAATTCGCTAAAACTATTCCGGCGAATTCTTCAATCGATCTCTCGTTCAATAATCTCAGCGGTGAAATCCCCCAATCAATGGCGTTGATGAACCAGAAAACAGAGTCTTTTTCTGGCAATGCTGATCTATGCGGGAAGCCTCTGAAGAAGCAATGCACAATCCCATCAACACTCTCAACCCCACCCACTGTCAATTCAACAACAACATCCACTCCAGCAATCGCAGCATTACCCAAAACAATCGATTCAAACCCAGAATCAAACTCATCTTCAACAACCCCAAATGGGAATCAGAGTCAGCAACAGAGCAAGCTGAAACCGGGTTCAATCGCCGGCATCGCAGTCGGAGACTTAGCTGGAATCGGAATCCTCGCCATGATCTTCCTCTACATCTACCAATTGAAGAAGAAAAAGAAGAAGAGCTTCGATAAAAGCGACAAAAGCAAAGAGAAAGAAGAGAATCAGGCAACTTGGTCGTGCGTGAGCGTTCCAAATTTGGAAGAAGGGACAACTGGGTCTGATTCTGATCATGAAAATAACAATGGTGGTGGTGTGGTGGTGGAGGAGAGAGAGAGGAAAGTGGTGATGATGGAGGGAGAGAAGGAATTGGAACTGGAGACATTGTTGAAAGCTACGGCGCATGTGTTGGGTTCGAGTGGGTCGAGCATAGTGTACAAGGCGGTTATGGAAGATGGGAGTGCGGTGGCAGTGAGGAGGATAGGAGAGGGAGGAAGTGAGAGAACGAGGAGAAAGAAGGAGTTTGAGAACGAGGTGAGGGCTGTGGCGAGGTTGCGACACCCGAATTTGGTACGGTTGAGGGGGTTTTACTGGGGAGAAGATGAGAAGCTCGTTATCTACGACTATGTGTCCAATGGCAGCCTCGCTAGTACTGCTGGTTACAGTAAGTTCTCTCTCTCTCCCCCCCCCCCCTCCTCTCTGTGTGTTTGTGTGCATGTTAGTCAAATTGTGTGGTTTTTTGCTATAGTACGCTGGTTTTTCTCCCGTAAAACCCGTGAACTTCGATCGCTTTATGTGATATTATTCGCTATTTTCGAAATATATACACTGTGCTGCTTTATAAAATATTTTGATGGATAAAAAAAGGATAGAAGCCTGTGATTTATGTTACAAATGGGGACAATATGAAACTGATTAATTGAAGGTAATTATTTAGTCTCGGAGTATAGATACGCGGCACTCCTTAAGATAGTATAGACACGTGGCATTCCTTAAGATTTTGATTAGTGAAGAGATATAAAGGTCCACGATTTATATTGAGATAGGAAAAAGATTAAGTAATTAATGATTAATTTAGAATATAGATATATGATATTCTTGAAGTATTGAATAATTTTCCGTACTTAGGGTCGTCACGTGGTATTTGGGATTGTTAAATAATTTTCCATTACAGTTATAGAGAAATTATTGTGTGCTTTGCATCATACCAACAACTCATGCAAAAGCACCAAACACACGTGTCTCTTGTATTTTCGTGGGGTTAAGAATTGATTTTTTTACTGATAATTTTTTTTGAAAAAATAATAATTTGATAACTTTATTTTTGACTTGTTAAAGCATCTCTAAGAGCATCTCCATGGAACTCTTAAAATACTTGTCAAACTTATAATTTAGCAATAGTGATAAAAAGTGGGTCTTCAATGGCTTGTTATTTTACTTACCAAAGATGACATATGCCATATCTGTTCTCAAATTTGACAAGTAAAATAGTAATTGTCAAACATGCCACATCAGCAAATATGAACATATTTGTGGCTCCAAATTTAATTGAAAAAATAAAATTGAAACAGTAGAAAATCAAGTAATTTTTCAAATTTAATTAATTTATTTATTTTTTCAAATTGAATTATATATATATATATTTTCTAATTTTTCTAATTTTTTTCATTTTTTATATTTGTCTAATCGGGAATAATATAAATATATAATTTTTTTTTTTACAAATAGTTAAAAAAAGGTCATAAAAGACAAAAAATAAACAAAAATAAAATCACAAAAAAACTTATATCCAAACAACACTTACAAACTTGGAGAGAAAGTTGGTTGAGAATTGCCAAAATAGCAAGTGACCATTGGAGCACCTTGTTATAATTTGACAAAATAGCATTATTCATTGCCAAATTATAACAATAACAATGGTATTATAGCAACAATCATTGGAGATGCTCTAATGAAGCTCTCAAAACATTTGCCAAAACTATAATTTAGCAATAGTGATAAAAAGTGGGTCTCCAATGGCTTGCTATTTTACTTGCCAAAGATAGCACATGCCATATCTGTTCTTAAATTTGGCAAGTAAAATAGCAATTGCCAAACATGCCACATCAGCAAATATGAACATATTTGTGGCTCCAAATTCAGTTGAAAAAACAGAATTGAAACAGTAGAAAATCAAGTAATTTTTCAAATTTAATTTTTCTATTTAATTTTTCTATTTAATTTTTCTATTGAATTATATTTAATTTTTTTTCTAATTTTTTTCATTTTTTATATTTGTCTAGTCGGGAATAATATAAATATATAATTTTTTTTACAAATAGTTAAAAAAAAGTCATAAAAGACAAAAAATAAACAAAAATAAAATCACAAAAAAACTTATATCCAAACAACACATATAAACTTGGAGGGAAAGTTGGTTGAAAATTGACAAAATAGTAAGTGATCATTGGAGCACCATTGCTATAATTTGACAAAATAATACTATTCATTATCAAATTATAGCAATAATAATGGTATTATAGCAACAATCGTCAGAGATGCTCTTGGTTGAAAATCTTATTCCAACCAGGGCCTTACTGTTTAGGGACGAAACTCAAGTTTAGTTCTTGGCAAAAACGTTTGTCAAAATTTTTTTAGTTGGCTTTATTAAGTTAGAATTTTTTTAATTTGGGATTAAAAAATTTGTTTGGATTAATTTTTTTAATTTTTGTGAAAGAAAAAATAAATTGATTATGACTTGATATGATATTTTATTTTATTAATTTTTTAACCTATTTTATTTTTAATAACTAATTTAGCTCTAATCTCTTTAGCCAAACGAAGCCTTATTCAATAATTTCATTCTCAAAATTGTAAAAATAATTAAAAATAATGAAATATTCTTTTCTTTTTCTTTTTTTTAAGCACATTTATAATACAAGTGTTAAATAATTCTCAAAATTTTTAAGTACGCATTTTTATTTAGGAAAATTTATGTGCATAGAAAAATTAGTGATCCTTTATCATAATAACTTTGAAATCATAATAACTTTGACTTCAAAGTTATTAGATGTGATCCTTTATCATATTTATTTTAGATGTGATCCTTTATCATAATAACTTTGAATCACATATTATTATTAATGTATTTATTTATTTTGTAGTGATTTTTTTCCTGTAAAAGTAGTATTGCTATTTTTATTTTTATTTCTAGTAAGTGAAAAAAGCATGCATTTCATGAGAGCTAAATGGATAGGAATTATTTGGAGGAAGAGAAGAGGAGGAAAAGGAATCTCAAGCTTGGGTTCGAAATACTGAACTTGATTGATCTTCAGAAATTTTAGATTATATTTGTATGATAGGAATCTTTGAAAAAGAATATGATGCTAGCAAAGTGTTTTGCTTCATTAAAAATCATTGGAAAAATCATAAATTTTTAAAAATTGTGGGTTTAATGTTTATTTTTTACTCTTAAATTATTAATATTTTTGATAGAATGCGGAGATATTAATGAAATATAAATTATTTTTGTTTTTTTTTTAAATTTCTATTTAAATTTATGATTCAAATTCAATGTTAAAATTTTCGGGCAATGATTGGTAGCCACAAATTCTGTGGCTTAAATAGCCTAAAAATGTCAAAACAACGTCATTTTGGGTACAAAACAACTCTGAAAATGCCAAAACGACGTCGTTTTGACATTTTCGGACCATTTGAGCCACATAATTTGTGACCACCAAACATTTTTCTAAAAATTTTAAGCTTTTTCATTTCACCAAATTGAAGTATATCTGAAATCTTATAAGACATTCCTAGGCCCTACTAATGAAACTGACCTCACAGAGTGTAGAATAAGGAATGAGGCATATATTCCCTCCATTGATAGGGTTTGTTTTGTGGCTAGCAGAGAATCTGCCCTAGGGAGAGAGACCGTACCCATACCCATATGAAAACCCCCGTTTGGTAGGACTGTGCGAAAGTGATTATAATTTATAGCCTAACAGTTTAAAGCTTATAACTGTGAACATAAGTTGATTTTTGACTTATAAATTAAGTTTCTCCTCTCCCACCAAAGAATAAGTTGATTTTTGATTTACAAAAAGCTATAAGCTGTATTATTAAGATGAACCAAACACATCAAAATAGCTTAAATTAAGCTAAAAGTTGAAATAAGATAGAAATAAGTTCTACTAAACAGGGCCAATAAGCCAAACCCATGTTCTCACATTTAGGTTTGTAGCTAGCAAACAGTTAATTTTTTGTTTTTTTTAACCAAAAAAATTAGTTTTTTTACCCAAGTCATTACCTAAAATGCTAAATTTTTTTACTAAAAAAAGTTAAAAATCAACTTTTTACCAATTTCCTAAAATACCATTTATTTCAAGAACCTTTATATGACTTTATTTTACTGACTTTTTGATTTTTGGTGTTAAGCTCGTGAAGATTCCTTCAAGTATATATGCATTTATCTTCAGCTTAGGCCTCACCCCAAAACACTTCTATGTTTATTTGTGATAACTAGGAATCTCACTGGTTTCAGTAACAAGATTTATACACAAATTCATTAAAGGAAATATTATTTTAAAAAAATAAATACAAGTACAGACATTCTGGCCTCGTTTGGCAAGAGGTTATTTTAGCCAATTAGCCAAAAAGTTACTAAATTAGCCAAAAAGCCAACAACCCATACCAAAAAGTCAAAGATTCTCTTTTCTCTCTACTTTTTGCACATCTTTTCGTAATTAGCCAAAAAGTCATCCCAAACATACAAGTTTTTTTTACTTACCTTTTTAGCCAAATAGCCAAAAAGTTACTAAATTAACCTGTTCCCAAACGAGGCCTCTATTACTTTTAGGTACTGCCAGTTGAGTCTACAACTTGTTTATTGTTTCATTTATTATTAAGAGCATATAGTTGGCTTAGGCATATGGAAAGTTCAACTTCGGTTAAAAAAAAATTATGTATAAGAACCTTTCATTTTTCTTGTTTTGTGATAGAATCTTAGCGAGTTACTAATGGTGTGTTTGGTTGAGGGATTTGAGGAGGGATTTGGAAAGAGAAATGGAAAAGGTGTGTGAAACTATGTGAAATATAGGCATGATTTATTCATATTTCACCTATCTTTTCCATTTCCCTTTCCAAATCCCTCTCCAAATCCCCCAACAAAACACAACATAAGTTAAATTATTACTAATGGACATTTGATATTTCTCTATAAGGTCAAATTTCAAACTACCTCTTAGAAACCAAGTGTAAAACAGTGCTAAGAGCACATATTTCTCTATAAGCTCAAATTTCAAACCACCTCTTAGAAACCAAGTATACAGCAGTGCTAAGAGCACATATGAAATTCACATAATAGGCTATAAATGTACCACCGGAGGTGGTAGTCTCATGGACAACGCATTGCGTTCTATAGGGGTGAGTCATGATCGAATCTTGGGGGGCGGGCTTTTGCGGAGACTCTGCATTGTACTCCATTGATACTTGGCCCCTTCTATAGCGTGTAGATGAGGTCCATTGGGTGCCTCGGTAGTAGATTACTTTTTATGGATTGGGTTAAATTTGACTGACAACTGGTTACCTCAGGGTCAAGGACTGCAGATGCTATGATGTCAAAAAAGAAAAAAGAAAAAGGAGAGAGGCTATGAATGTGAGTCAAAAAATGAGTTTTACATGTGAGACTCACTCTTTATCTAACATCTATGACCATTCTGTTTGATTCATTTGTGCAGTTAGACTTATTTAGGAATAGCTTATTTTTGTAGATAAATATCATCTGGTAGACATTTTTTAGTAATAATCTGAATTCAATCACATTATGATGTATATTGTACAATATTTTTTAAAGTATTATTCTAAGTATATAATAGTTTTGAAAATAGTAATGTTATACAAATATAGTTTTTGTACAAAATTTTTGTACTGAATAATTTGGTTATTTGTCATTTTTTTATTTCAAATCAAAATATTCACTATTATGGTTTAGAATTTACAAATATCACTGTCCTATCATTCTTGGTTTTTTTTTTTTTTGGTACACAAAAAATTATTTGTAAATTATTTGAATTTTTATACCAAATCTTCTACTATAATTATGTGATAGTATCATTTTTAAAAATAAAATAAAATACGTATTTTTTATTTCCTTGTTTTAAGTCTCACAAGAATTCAAGTTTGGCATAATTGAAAAAAGACAAAAAGGCAAAAAGTTACTATCCTATTTAAGTCACATCATCTTATTTAAGTCACATCACTTCTCTAACACATCACTTCAAACCCAACCTAAACCCAACCCATATTTCATAAAAAGTCAAAAAGTACACTTATTTGTCTTTCCAAACTATTTAAATTATTGATTCTAAATTAATTTTCTAATTTCAAAATATCAGAAAAAATGGGGTCCTCTCCAATTCGCCTACCATTCGAAGTCCGGCTCAAGATAGCAAGAGGAGTGGCTCGCGGACTAACCTACATCCACGACAAAAAACAAGTCCACGGCAACATCAAACCAACAAACATCCTCCTCACCCCAGATATGGAACCCATCATCAGTGACTTCGGCCTCGACCGCCTCATCTCCTCCGCCCCCAACAACCACCACCACCACCACCACCACCAACCCACCGTCGCCACCCGCCATTTCGGCAGCAGACGCTCCACCTCCGCCTCCCACGACGGCGGCGACCTCCCCACCACCACCACTACCAGTCTCGGCTTCGTCGGCTGCACATCCCCTTACCACGCCCCCGAGTCTCTCGAAACCCTCAAGCCGAACCCTAGGTGGGACACCTATTCGTTTGGGATTGTTCTGCTCGAGCTTTTGACCGGGAGGGTTTTCTCGGACCGGGAATTAAGCCAGTGGACCGCCGGTTCAGCGGCGGAGGACAAGAACCGGTTTTTTAGGATGGCTGACGTGGCAATCCGGGGTGACGTGGAGGGGAGGGAAGATGTTTTGCTGGCATGCTTTAAGTTAGGGTTTGGTTGTGCTTCGTTGGTGCCGCAGAAAAGACCTTCCATGAAAGAAGCACTCCAAGTGCTCGATAAAATGTCAAGCTCGAATTTGCATTGATGATGGAGGGCCGTTGTTTGGTCTTTTTGACTTGGGATGTTGCATAAAAGAAGGAGATGTAATGCTGGTTAAAAAACAAAAAAGGGCTTTGTGTGTCTGACTGGTTAATTAATGATTAATCGATTGTTGGCAATAGTAGTATCTTTTGAAGATGATAAGCATTTTCTTGACTTTGTTCGTCTTTGTTGGCCCTTAATTTAAGGTATAGCATAGACTCTTTTTATAGGACAGTTGTTATTTAGTAATTGGGATTGTTGTAACACCAAGATCATGGGTTACTTTTTTTATGTACATGTCATGATTAAGATGATAATGTGATCGGTAGAGCAACTGGATGGTTCTTCATTCGGTCCGATTAGAAAAAGAGATGAGTCTTAAGCATGCACTGTTATGCTGTGCTGGTCAAAGACTGTTTAGAAAATAAGATAATTTCTAGTGGTACGATTTTTAGATTGTGAAATGACTTATATAAGGTATTTTTCACATGGTATGTTTGAGTCCTTATCTCAATTGGTACATACTTTATAATTGGGGCAAATTACATGTACTCTTGAGGTTTGGTTAAATTATAAATATCTTTTCGAGGTTTGAAAAATTATAAATTTTTTTCTGAATGCTATATTTGCATAATAAATTAAGGGATAATCTGTTATGAAATTTAAACCTCATGGGGCAAATTATTATGAAAATATAAACTTTAGGAGCAGGATGTAATTTTTGAAACCTCAAGAGGTATCTGTAATTTAGTCAAATCTCAAGGGAAGTATATGTAATTTGCCCTTATAATTGTTAAAACAATAATATAATTTTATATTTTTTGAATAATAATTTTAAAAAAAATTCACAACTAAATACAAAAAAATTATAATTAAATATTTCAAAATAATATTATAATTATAAAATAAAATAATATAATTAAAAATACATATATAATATGATAGGATAGTGTGCATAATATAATTCACCTATTCTTTAATCATCACTTCTACATGAGTCGGTGCTTTTTTTGTTTTAATAATACATCACGAGTTACTTATAACCACGTGGCTTAGTTGGTGTCTTTATGCTCATTGTTGTTTCGTTTGCACAGGGGGTGACCATGGCCAGCTTTGGGGCAAAGCCCACAAAACAGCTGTTTTGGTTATCAAAAAATGTTTTTAAAAACAAGGCTCTAAAATTATAGAAAATATTGTATTAGTTTAGAGAAAAAAAAGATTCACTTGAGTTAGAAAAGTATAAAATTTCTTATAAAAAGAGGCTTAATCTGAATAAAAATGCCCAACATTTTGAAGACTCACTTCATATTTTAAATACATTTGAGATATAATTACAAATATATAGTAAAACTAAAGTTTTTATTTGTTGGTTTCTGTCAGTAACAAGAATTAAAAAGATTCATCTATTTTTTTTTATAAAAAAAAACTAATTGAAGAACTATCATATTTCTTCTTTTTTTTTGGGTTTTTAATTTGTTCAACTATGATGGAAAGTCTAAATTTGTAAAATAAAGTTGGGTTTCAAGATACAAACTCAGTAACAGAGATGAATTCTTATTTTGTTTGATTAAATATTTATTTGATCATAGGGGCATTTGGAAAATGTTTGGTAGTTTAAAATTTTGTGGCTCAAATCTGTCAAAACGATATCGTTTTACACTTATTTACACTCAAAACGACGTCGTTTTGAGTGATTTGAACCATTTCAGCCACAAAATTTTGAGCTACCTAGCATTGTTGGGGGCATTTATATACAAGTCATAATTTATGAATTCATACTCCATTAAGTCCTAACTAAGATTTTTTGAATCTTTAAGTCCCATTAAATTTTTAATAGGCGGAATTACCTTTCAAACAATGATTGTTTATCATTTATGATTATCTATAAAAGAATATGATAATTTGACATTTATTTTCATTTTCAAAACTTTAAAATATCAACTTTCAAATTGGAAAAACTAAAAAAAAAAATATGTGCAAAAAAAAAAACTAATTTTCTACCATAATATTTGTAAATAAGACTTTTAGGTAATTAAACTCTTGATTATATATATTGTCTGTTATGATTACATATTTTTATTATTTTTTATGTTTACTTTCATTGATTATTTGATTTGTAATGATTGAGGATTAAGTTAGCATTATGATGATGTTATTAATTTTAAATAAACTATATCAAACATGTCACTATTCTTAGTGTGGGTGTCAATTTCCGACCACACTACCAATCAAGCATTTAGCTGGAGAACACTGGCATAATAGATTAAGCCCGAACGACTTGTCACAAAAAGAAGATATTCTGGCGGTGGTTTATCCACTCGGGGGCACTCCGACGATCAAGTCAGTTATCTCTCAAAGATAGCAAAAGTGCTTAACTCACTATTCAGAATACAAAAAGCATATCTTAGACCCATGGAGGTGTCTCTCTTTTATAGCCAACACTTACCTAATCCCAATAGAAGTCTAGCTTCAATGGACTTAGGATTACTGCTAATCTTGGACTCCTAGTAGGATTGGGATAAACTCTCTAAGAGTCTTATGTTTATCCAAACTGAAGTCCTATCCTATTCTAGGACTCTTGTCCCTTATCCGCTTATCTCGGATTCCAATTTCTTATCATCTCGGCGTCATGATCAGGACACGTGACACATCGGCTGACACTTCGGTGACACCTCGACCACGTGTTGTCATTCAAAAATTATGTCCCCACACTTAAAAAGTATGATTTTGTATATGAAAAAATAAAATAAATAAATAATAAATAAAATATGTCCCCACACTTAAAAAGTATGATTTTGTATATGAAAAAATAAAATAAATAAATAATAAATAAAAACACAAAGAATAGAAGACTTAATTTAGTTTTTATTTGATACTCCAACTCATATTTTAGTCGGTTTTATTATTATAAACTTTGTTATATATTTAGGCTTGGTTTGAGATATTAAAAAAAAAAATTAAAAAGTCAAAAAGTTATAAAAAAAAAAATCATCACTATTCACAAATTAAAAATAAAAAAAATTAATATACATAATATTTTAATACAAACCAACTTTACACCGTAAAAGATACTGAATTGATGGAAAAGTACCGTGAAATGAACACAAAAAAAAAATACATATATATATATATATATTCACTAAGTTGGACGGCAATGTTGGGCCCGTGGGAGCCCACCACGGGTCCCGTTTTGATAATCCGAACCGTTTAATGTGTAGAACTTGTCTAGTATTATATGATTGTAAAAAATCACGTTGATCGAATATCGCTAACTGCATAATCAAATCAGTTTTGTATAAAAAATGGATGATGTTATAGTTAACGGTTGACAAAAAAACTAATCCGATCATATAGCTATAGCTATCCGATTAATGTGATTTTTTACAAACATATAATACTCGACGAATTGTACATATTAAACGGTTCCGATTAGCAAAACAGGACCCGTGGTGGGGCTCCCACTAGTCAAAGAGCACCGTCCAAATGGTTCATCGAAAAGGAGGCAACTATTTCCTATTACACCACTCTGCAAACCTTGCTGCCACCGTACAACCTATACTGTCAAAACTCTTCCTACACACTAATTTATACAATTTTTTAATACACATTTTTTCGTAAAAAGTCAAAAGGTTAACTCAAACATCTATTTTTTTTTTCTTAATTTTTTAATCTAAAAAAATAAAAAGTGCACTTATTTAAAACATTCCAAATAATTCCTTAAGTAAATTATAATAGTCTTTTTGTAAGCATTATTAAATGTAAAAATTTAAAACAAAATTCAATATATGATCTTTTGATCAACTTTTTTTTTAATATATATAGAAGGTCTCATATTTATGATTTGTTTTGGGTCCCGAAAAAGTTAAAGCCGGCCTGAGTGTGACAAGTTGTATGTCCACGGGGGAGTTTGGTTCCTTGGATCTAAGATATCGGTCGGTCTGCTGGCCCATTAACCTGGCCTGAGTGTGACAAGTTGTATGTCCACGGGGGAGTTTGGTTCCTTGGATCTAAGATATCGGTCGGTCTGCTGGCCCATTAACCTCCCAAACTAATCTTGGGGACCTCTAGGTAGATTGGGAGGTCTGGTAGGCACATTCAACGCCGGTACCGGCTTTCAAACTTGTTCACTTTGGGTCGAACTTTGGTCTAAACTTTGCCTTGTCTAGGGTAGTTGGGTTGGACCTGGGCCCTTATGAGCCTACCTAGTCTGTATAAGTATGGGTAAGTTGACATTCCATTTGGTTTGGGTGATTTGAAGGAAAAAAAAAAAAAAAACATTTTTGTGTGATGCTGAGATTGGAGAACTTTTTAATAAATTAAAAATATTGTCATTACAGAATTAATATTGACTATATTATGCCAAATTGATTATTTAAATGTTTCGATTATGTGAATAATCTTGAAATATTTATTATTTATTAGTATTTGCCACTTGTTAGACAAATTTCTCCAATAAAAACTAGAGCCATTGGTTAGTGAAAGAGATGAGGTTGTTAAAAAACTGGAAAACAAAAGAAAAGGATAGTGACTACAAGTCTTGCCAATTTTATCTTCCATTTATATATATTTTTTTGTTCAACTCCCCCTCCTCCCTCTCTTTTGTCTATTCGTGTCTGTTCCTTGTCTTTGTTTGGAAGCAAACAAGTTGGTAACATATTAGATTACAAGTTGGTAACTTGCACTAGGCCCAACCTTGGCGCAACCAGTACACTCCACGCAAAAGCCTGCTTGCACTGCTTTTTAAAACAAAATAAATATCTGACTCCAACAAGAGGCTTGCTCTACTCTAATGGACCGAATAAGCTTCCCTCCTATTCGATATTATTGTTAATTTCATAAAATAAAATACAAATTATTTTTATATTTATAAATTTTTCAATTAAATTAATTTTTTATATAAGTAATTTTTATTGTTAAATTTTAAAAATAAACTATATTTTCCATATTGAGATTAAAATATATATATATATATATATATATATGTGTGTGTGTGTGTGAAGAAATATGAAGAAAATCAAATATTAAGATGAGCTCATCCATATTAAGAGCATTTTTAATGGTATATTAAATTTTTTATCAAATATGAGTAAAAGTTTCATTTAATATTAAGTGTTTTAACAGAAAATTTTGAAACTTTATAAGAACAATGGTTGACTAGGCGGACCATTGAGCGGATGTCTGGTCGGTCGATCGGCAAGTGTGAATTTTTCACAATTTTTTGCTTTGAAGTGGCCATCTAAGGGATCGGTCAGACGGACGATCGGGGGATCAACCAACCAGTGTAATTTTTTTACAAATTTTTACCTTGAAGTGATCATTTAGGAGACATTCGGAGGGACATTCGGAGAGACATTTGGTGGTGAAAATCAAATGGTTATAAACAGTGATTTAATAAAAGACACATTAATTTTTAATTTGATAAAAAAAAGAGTAAAATCTTAAATTTAATACCTATTTAATGAAACTATTAAAAATTAAAAAATATACATATATATTTTTTATCAAATTTAAATTTGATGACAAATTTAACTAAGCCTCCGTTTGGCAAGCAAAAAGCCAGGTTTTTTTGGCTAAAATAGCCACAAAAAACAAAATAGGCTATTTTAGCCACAAAAAATAAAACATCAAATCCAACCCATAATCATTACAATCTTCTCTCACAAAAAAAACTAAAAAAGTTAAAAAGTCAAAAAGTCCTTCCCAAACCAGGCTAAAATAGCCCAGACTAAAATAATCAAAAAGTCAAAAAACCAAAAAGTCAACCCACTCCCCAAACGGAGGCTAACATGGAGATGGTACAATGGACCCAACTTAAAAAGTAATCTTCAGTCTTGTGCTCAGCTGCATCCCTAAATTCCCACACCTTCCCATCCTTTCCATCAAACCACATACCAACCAAAACCAACCAACCTCCAATCCAAACCCATATATATATTTTTTATCAAATTTAAATTTGATGAAAAATTTAACTAACATGGAGATGGTACAATGGACCCAACTTAAAAAGTAATCTTCAGTCTTGTGCTCAGCTGCATCCCTAAATTCCCACACCTTCCCATCCTTTCCATCAAACCACATACCAACCAAAACCAACCAACCTCCAATCCAAACCCATGGAAACCAACAATTCTACCCAAACCAAACTCCAGATCTTCATACTCTCAGGCCAGAGCAACATGGCCGGCCGAGGCGGCGTGACAAAAGACAAACACTGGGACGGCGTCGTTCCACAGGAGTGCAACCCCGATCCCTCCACCATCCTCCGCCTCAACTCCGACCTCCGCTGGGAGGCGGCGCGTGATCCTCTCCACGCCGACATCGACTCCAAGAAAGCCTGCGGGGTGGGTCCCGGAATGTCGTTTGCTAACGCCGTCAAGGATCGGGTGGTGGGGGTTGTAGGGCTGGTACCCTGCGCCGTCGGAGGCACGGCCATTAAGGAGTGGGCACGTGGGAAGCAGTTGTATGAGGATATGGTGAGGAGGGCTAAAGAGGCGGCGAAGGAAGGAGAGATTAAGGCGGTGCTGTGGTATCAAGGAGAGAGCGATACGTTGACGAGAGACGATGCTGAGTCGTATAAGGCGAATATGGAGAGACTCGTTTGTGATTTGCGTGGTGATCTTCACTCTCCTTCGCTACCAATTATTCAGGTGAGTGAGTTCAATTTTAGAAAAGCTTTCATCATGAGTTTGTCAAGAACTCGAGATTGTTTTGCGATTCATGTTTTTCATTGTTGAGTTTTTTTGTTTTTAAAGGGAAAATTATTGGTAAGTCTTGTTTGAAAAACGTGTAATCTATTTAGTCTCATAATTTTTTACTTATACCCAAAAGTCTTATAAGGTTATTATTTCTTTTCTCTACCTCTCTTCTTCTTTATCAGTTTTTCGACGATTGTTGATGGGTAACCATATCTTACTTCTTCTCTTTCTCTTTCTCTTTTCGATATATAGTCACCGGTAACCGACGACTATCATTGATTGGGATTCACCGACAACCACCGACTACTTACTTTACTCTCACCAACAATAAAAAAGATATATTTCCGACGAAGAAGACGAGTAGATTTACATCAGATCTGATGTAGATTTACATCAAATCTGAGTAGATCTATATTAGATTCGGCTAGATCTAAACAAAAAATAGTTGTCGGAGTACAATCCTGTCTCTATATTCGCCTCTCTCCTTCGATCTCTTATTTTTTTTTATATTTTTTTGTTATACACTTCTCATGGAGAAAATTTTTATGTTTTAAATAAGTTGTTTTCGAGTTTTAGTTACAGGCGTTGAAAATTGTAAAATTTTACAGTTTAGACGATGCTGAGTCGTATAAGGCGAATATGGAGAGACTCGTTTGTGATTTGCGTGGTGATCTTCACTCTCCTTCGCTACCAATTATTCAGGTGAGTGAGTTCAATTTTAGAAAAGCTTTCATCATGAGTTTGTCAAGAACTCGAGATTGTTTTGCGATTCATGTTTTTCATTGTTGAGTTTTTTTGTTTTTAAAGGGAAAATTATTGGTAAGTCTTGTTTGAAAAACGTGTAATCTATTTAGTCTCATAATTTTTTACTTATACCCAAAAGTCTTATAAGGTTATTATTTCTTTTCTCTACCTCTCTTCTTCTTTATCAGTTTTTCGACGATTGTTGATGGGTAACCATATCTTACTTCTTCTCTTTCTCTTTTCGATATATAGTCACCGGTAACCGACGACTATCATCGATTGGGATTCACCGACAACCACCGACTACTTACTTTACTCTCACCAACAATAAAAAAGATATGTTTCCGACGAAGAAGACGAGTAGATTTACATCAGATCTGATGTAGATTTACATCAAATCTGAGTAGATCTATATTAGATTCGGCTAGATCTAAACAAAAAATAGTTGTCGGAGTACAATCCTGTCTCTATATTCGCCTCTCTCCTTCGATCTCTTACTTTTTTTTATATTTTTTTGTTATACACTTCTCATGGAGAAAATTTTTATGTTTTAAACACGTTGTTTTCGAGTTTTAGTTACAGGCGTTGAAAATTGTAAAATTTTACAGTTTTAAATTTTTTTGGTGCTGTGTAGATTTACATCAGATCTAAGTAGATCTACATCAGATCCGGCTATATCCAAACAAAACATAGTTGTCGGAGTACAATCCTCTCTTCTTCGATCTCTTTTTTTTTTTTTTTTTTTTTTACATTTTCTTTGTTATACACTTCTCTTTTTCTGTTCTAATGGAGAAAATTTGTAAGTTCTGAACAAGTTATTTTTGAGTTTTAGTTACAAGCGGTGAAAATTGTAAAATTTTACAGTTTCAAATTTTTTTGGTGCTGGAATGAATCATGGTATAAAACTGTAAAATTTTATAGTTTCATAACATGTTTTTCAGTTTGATTAATAAGAATAAATACTTAATAGATTTTTATTTTGAAACTGTAATATTTTACAGTTTCAAAACTTACTTTTCAGTTTGATCAATATTGGAGATTATTTGTTTAAACCTTACAATAATTGAAAAATAACATATGTTTTTTCCATTGTTGCTATTTTTTGTCGTTCCATTTTTTTTCTTTTAGTTTATCAATATTTAGCACATTTTGTTATATTTTTCACTCTTATTTCTCCATTTATTATTTTTTTTCCCGGCGATATTCTGGATATTCCGGTGAATTTCCAATGATGTTCTTAATGTTCCGTGAACGTTCTGAACATTCCGGCGACTTCCATTAACGTTCTTAACACTTCGGTGAATTTCCGACGATACTCCGACGACTTTCTGATGATGTTGAATATTCCGACGAGTCTCCGGTAACCGTTTGACGGAAGTTCGACGGTAGTAGAATGTAACATCTATAAATTGAAAAAAAAAAAAAAGATTTTTTGGTAACAATTAAAAATATATAGGACTAATTGGTGTAAATGTTTTATTTAGGAATTAGATAGATCTTGAACTTTGTATATGAGACTTATTGATAAGTTCCCAATTTTTAAATGGTACTGGTTAAATTGTTCTCAAGTATGATGGGCTTTTTGCTATTTTTTGTCATAAATGGGAATTTGGCTAAAAATTAATTATTATTTAATTTAATTTTCTCTTTTTTTTTATATATATATATATATATATTTTTTAAAAATTAAAAAGTCAATTTTTAGCTAATTTTCAAAACAAACCTTTGTGTTGACAGGCTTTTTTTTTTGTCACATTTTGTTGTCTCGTAGTTCATATTAAATTTATACTTTGCACTTAAATGGTCAATATTAAAATAAATTATTGAGTCATCTTGATGAGATAACGTAAAAAATAATAATAATAAAATTATTATATCATTACAATATTGGTAATTATTGTAGTGATATGTATAATATTAATAATAGTCAAATCTATAGAGTTCAAGCAATAAGAATTGGAAAAAAAAAATTCCAATGAAACACACATAATTTCAAATAAATATTTTCGTAGATTTATTTATTTATTTCAATAACTCATTATCCAGCCAATTGAACCAACTAATCCATCTATTTCTAAATAGTCAGCTTGTATAGAGTTCAAGCAACTAGAATTGAAATTCAAAATTAAAAAAAAATTCCAATGAAATACACCTAATAAAAATAAATATTTTCTTAGGTTTATTTATTTTTTTGATTACTCGTTATTCATCCAATTGGACCAACTAATCCATCTATTTCTGTGTTCTAATCCAAGGTGTCTTGTGTATTAGAAGAAAAAAGGGGAAAAAAAAAAGAAAAAGAAAAAAGAAAAAGGAATATATATATATATATATATATGTAATTCTTTTTTTTTAGAAAGGTATATATATGTAATTCTTTAGGAGTACAGTTGAAAAACGTTTTGAAAATTTTAGTGAAAATTGAGTGGCACGTACTCCTAAAAATAAAAATAAATATTTTAGTGAAAATTTGAAAAACGTTTTGAAAATTGGATCAAACTCACCTCTTTTGAGAACATAATTGTTCCTCATTATTTGAATTCATTTTTCAAACACACAATTGGAACACACATTAGTTAAGAATGTAAGTTTTGAGATACTTCTGATTTGATAAACAACTGGATGAGAATTGGGATAAACAGGTGGCAATTGCATCAGGGGAGAAGTATATGGAGACGGTGCGGGAGGCGCAAAAGAGCATTGATCTACCCAACATGGTGTGCGTCGACGCAAAGGGGTTGGCACTCGGGCATGACAACCTACACCTAACCACGGAGTCACAGGTTCAACTGGGCATCATGTTGGCTGATGCCTACCTCAAGCATTTTGACCAACCAACTTGTTCTGTTCCTTGACTTCCAATGAAACCCAAATCCTACATTTGCATTATGAATTTGAATAAGAATTTGAAAAAAGAAAAAGAAAAAGAAAAGATGAATGAAATATAAGTTATATTTCTTAACAATTTATTTTTATCTTTCTAATTTTAAAACTCTATTTATATTTATAATTCAAACAGTGTGCCTTTCCATGTCCCGTGTGTGTAAGGAAGTGGCAATGAGAGGTGGGTGAGAAAGTAGTTTAGGGTTCGCATCAAGCCTAAGGTAGTTTGGTTGTGCAAAATGGCCCACTTGGCTTCTTTTCTTGAATTGAAATTGACTTTTGAGCTGTTCTGTTTAGTTCATCATGATGATGTTGTTGTTGTTGTTGTTGGAGTTGCACATGTTTGATTTATTTTAAATTTGCATTCGGTGATCAGTCTGGATAGTCCATAGGATGTTATGCGGAAACAAATATTGAATATAACAATGACAAATTTTTGTTCAAAATTTGAGTTTTCTGGACTTATTTTTGGGCAATTTTGAGTCCAAATTGAAGCGAGGTCCATGCACCATTTGAGGTTGGGCTCTGTGGTGACGTATTCTTTGTCACATGTTGAATCATGCCTCGAAGACGGTTTGTCAAAAATATTTTCGAATGAATGGGAAGTTGACGTCATTTTCGAATTTATAGAAATAGAAGTTGATGAGACAGAGTCGATTTGCTTATTAAATGGCTCGTCTCATATTAAAACAAAGAGAGTTTATATGAGTATATAAACATTAGGTTGACATACTTGGGATGGGCTCCAAGGGGCACCCTAAGTTTTGTAAGAAAGGGAGTTATGGAAAAGTATGTTTCACCCAAATCCACCACGTGCCGCCGACCGGGTGCGGGTGTGGGTCGGGTCCTAACTTTAATTTTTTGAATAAAATTCGTTTGAATTTTTTCAAAAATCTTTTGTGGGATTTCAAATTTCCTTATTGAAATTCAAATTTTTTGCGGGAAATATTTAAATTCAAACCCAGACAGTGGCTTCCCTTCCTTCTCCGGTCACCTCTCTTCACTCTGGTGGTTTTCAGATTTGCACTTGTTCGGAATGTTTCCAAACCTATCCAAACAGTCACCATGTTGCCTATAAATTGTCCAAGCAATTCCTTGATTCGTCTTCCCTTCTCCTTCAGTGCATACTTCTAAATATTTGTCCTTCTGTTTTTCTTGTAAGAGATAACACAACATAGTTTGTTCGCTAGACTCAAATTTGTAGTGCTGAAATTCTAGGATATAATTGTTGCATGCTGGGAGGTCGGTGTCATTTGTTCTCGAGCACCTTAGTGAGCACATAACGATTTGAAGAAAAGTGTGTCCAACACACGCCTCGACTTTTCTATATTTATGCATTTCGTTTGACCGATAATTTGTTAGTTTTATTTAATTTAATTAATTTACAGTGTGTATTTTTATTCTTGTTTTATACTTGAATAAGAAATTTCTTTTCTTACTTGTGATTTTCGAAAATAATTCTATTTCAAAACAAAATAATTTTTCTGTTTCCAAAAAAACAATTTTCATTTTGAAATTATTTTTAGACTTTTATTAGTCATTATTTTATTTTAAATACACACAATTTGCTAGTTTAATAAATAGTTTTTTTACAATTTTATAGTAATTTTTGGATCTATATTGTATGTTTGATCGCAAGACAAAATAGGGAGAAGGGAAGGGAGAGGATGGCCAAGTCTACTTTAAGGTTTCGTTTGGCATTGGCTTTTGGATTAAAAAAATAGAAAAGATAAAATAAGCTAAATAAATCAATAAGACAAAATGTCACATCCAATTCAAACCATAATCATTTTACTTTTTCTCTCACAAAAATCAAAAAATCATAAAAAGCCAAGCCAAACGACCTTTTTAATCCCAAGCTAAAAGTTCCAATTCAAAAAAGTTAACTAAAAAAACTATAGCCAAACAATAACTAAAGTTAGGCTTCGTTTGGGAACAGACTATTTTAGTAATTTTTTAATTTTTTATGAAAAGATGTGTAGAAAAGTAGAGAGAGTGATGTAACAACTTATAGTGACATCTTGACTTTTTGACTAAAACTGAAAATTGCCAATATTTGATGTGCAAGAATAAAGAGATAAGGTAAAGAAAATAATTGGATCTTACATGCTTTTTAGTTTGATATTCGATAGTAATGAGATAAAATAAAATAAAAAATACAATTACTGTGATATGAAAATTTTAAAGTACTATGATAGTGTTAAAAGCGATAATAAAAAAACAAAAAATTTAAAAATCCTACGACTTGGGCATATGATTTATTTATGCAAGAATATATTGGAGTTGGAGGGAACACTCATATTTTTAGCCCACGCTTGCTTGATGTAGATAGGAGTTTTGGTAACTAATGTTTTTAGGGGGATTGGGTGATAGACTTCTCAGTGTCTAACTTAGTCCTTGAAAAGAATAAAAATTATATAGATCCTTTCAAGATCCCTTAGTATTTTAAAAATTATTTCTTTTATTATATACCCTCACACATATATATATACAAAAGACACAAAAGCAGGAAGAAGGAAACAACACTAAAATAACACAGTTTAAATAATAATAAAACAGTTTTAAATAAACATAAATAATAAACTTACAATTGTTTACTGGAATAAAACAAACAGTTATTCAAATACATAACTTGAAAACGAACTTGAAAATAAAATTATAGAGATAGCTATTTTTCTTGAAGAATGAGTTCTCTCAATTTTTTCTAACTCTGCCTTATTCTTGACTGAAGAGGCCCTTTTATAATCAAAAGAGACTACTGTTAGCCTTGTGAGTGAATACTGTTAGCCTTGTGAGTGAATAATCTTAACTTGAAAGGAGCATCAGGAGCACATGGGAGCTGTATGCTGCTTTCGGTGAGTGACTAAAGTTGATGGCTGCCTTTTACTGTGCTGAATTTGTCGGTAGGATAAATGTGGAATAGTAATGTTGACTTTTTGATGAATAGTGAACAGTAAAGTTGATTGAGGGAAACAATATAGGTATATATATCCGCAACTTTTCTCAAAAACGAGTATTGATTGAAGCTGATAATTATAGCTATATAGAATCCAATGTTGATAAGTTGAACAAGTGACTAGGCATATGGATCCTGAGCATCTTGAAATTCGAATCTATATGGATTTTGAGTAGTTGATCCTTCAGAAGAGTTTGAACTGTCTGAACCATCTTCTGAACTGCTGTTATCCGAGTCTGACTTGGCTTGGGCCATGAGGAGACGAGCCATTTGGAGGAGCTCATCTTTGGATGACTTGGACTTGGGCTTAACCTTGGATTTGGACTTGTCCTTTGACTTGGGCTAATCAGAATTGGGTTTCGTTGACTTGGATTTAATCTTTGATTTGGATGACTTGGGCTTGGAAGAACTGGATGTTGGGCTTCCAAGATTGACTGGAGGAAGTTGGCTTCCTTGTGTTAATGGAGCAGTTGGGATCTACTGAGCTTTAACCATAGCAGGAGTTGGAGCATGTATGTTGATTGGGAATTCAGTTTGAACGATTTCAATGATGCGTGGAATTTTGAAATTATCCCACCATTTAACCATGTGTTGACGGTAAATAACATCATTAGAAATACCATAATGCCATTGCTTGGAGGCATGTGATTGAGGGAAACAATATAGGTATATATATCCGCAACTTTTCTCAAAAAACGAGTATTGATTGAAGCTGATAATTATAGCTATATAGAATCCAATGTTGATAAGTTGAACAAGTGACTAGGCATATGGATCCTGAGCATCTTGAAATTCGAGTCCATATGGATTTTGAGTAGTTGAACATTCAAAAGAGTTTGAACTGTCTGAACTTTCTTCTGAATCACTATTATCCAAATCTGACTTGGTTTGGGCCATAAGGAGACGAGCCATTTGGAGAAGCTCATCCTTGGATGACTTGGATTTAGGCTTAACCTTGGACTTGGATTTTTCCTTTGATTTGGGCTGATCAGTGATGGGCTTTGCTGACTTGGACTTATTCTTTGACTTGGATGACTTGGGCTTGGAAGAATTGGATGTTAGGCTTCTAAGATTGACTGGAGGAAGTTGACTTCCTTGTGTTAATGGAGCAGTTGGGATCTGCTGAGCTTTAACCATAGCAGGAGTTGGAGCATGTATGTTGATTGGGAATTCAGTTTGAACGATTTCAATGATGCGTGGAATTTTGAAATTATCCCACCATTTAACCATGTGTTAACGGTAAATAACATCATCAGAAATACCATATTGCCATTTGAATATCCAAGGGATTTTGTATTTGGATAAAAAAATAAGCAATGGAGGGAATTTCCGTTGCTAAGGAGTGAATGAGAAAACAGTGGAGAAGTAATTGACTTGTTCCATAATTACAGATGGGAAGATTTCTGAAATGGTGCCATACTGAGTCCACCATCGCAGAAACCAGGTAGGTAACTCGGATTTGAACTTTTGATCAAATTGAAGAAACCAAGAGTGACTGTTTGACCCATTTTGATACAAGAGGACTTTGAACCAAGCATCAATGTAATCATAGTAAATGTATTGAATTGAATGACTAGGCAAATCTCGTAGTTGATAAGAAGAACCTCAATCAACCAGAGAAACAAAGTTGTGAATATAGAGTGAATGGTACACAATTTTACTTATGTAAGTGCGATCATAAATGGGTTTAATCACAATTGATTGATAGTTGAACATGATGTCTTTATAGAAAGTAATTGTTTTTTCTGGATAGAGAGGAATAAAATGCCATCCAGGAGGGAAATAAGATTTAACCAGATCATGAACAGTATGACTCTTTGGGTGACTAGTTTCTTTGAAAAAGAGATTAGTAGTGGTGGATTTAACATAATCAGATCAGGCTGATTTAATAGGATTAGGAGGGTATGGAGTAACTGCCTGACTTGATGAAGCAAAAGGATCAGTAGCCAAAGTAGATGTATAACTAGGTTTAGGAATGTTACCAAGAATTTGGTAACGGTTAACCAATTCAGCAGGGTGATATTTGGTGACTAACTCCAAAGGAGGAGGAACAAAGAGGAACAAACAGTTGACTAGATGGGACCAAGGCTTTGGAAGGAGGCCGTGACGAGACATCTGTGAAATAGAGGAGATAAATTAGCATCCACTGAGGATATCTAATTGATCAGTATGTTCATGTAAACAGTTAATATAGTGAGCAAGTTGTTATTTCTGAGCTTTAATCCGATGAAATTGTATGTACTGCGCTCTTTTAGTAGGTAAATGGGCTGATTTGAGAATGGCAAGGCGACGAGCAGTATGTTTGACTAAGGTTTTAGTGTTTAATCTGGTGTTTATGGTAAGGAATAGAGGGAATTGTCATGATG